ATCATCGTCCGAAAATACATCGATTGCAATGAAGTTGGTTGCAACCGTCGGGGTTGCAACCGTCGGGGGCCCTTTTAGAACAATCTCGAAGATCGACTGTAGAGTGATTTATTAACGGGTGATACTCGTAAAATATTTGTTCCATATATCTGACCACCGTCGACGAGTCCAACTCGGCGCGCGTCCTGGTAGGTTGTAAACCTACAAAGTGATTTAGCACGCTCGCAGCTCGCTCTCGACGTGCTTGTCTAAAGACTTGGTTCGGATCCTGATAATTGGTTCCTGCAAGGTAATAGCTGCAGTACCAGTTAATTCCATCATACATCACACCTAATAAAGTTAAAGCTATTAACTTATACACCAATGATTAATTGCCGGAGCAAACCAACTGGCCTCCGCTCTATCGCACTTTACCTGAGGACCCCAGGCTTTAATGTTGTTAATAGAGATTAGGCGGAATGACAGGCTGAGCGCGGCCCAGTAATATCGCACTCTATCGCACTCTATCGCACTATCTACAGTTCACCTCGATCTAGGTGCTAAGTACCTATAACATAAAATTAAAAGCATAAACGCAGCTACAAGCTATAATGGGTATAGTCAAATTGTAGCCATTTATAACACTTATAACACTTGTCTGCCACGTCTTTGCTGTTGCTACATGACAATATCATACTTTGTGTCTTGTGCGTTAATACTACTACTAGGGACCACTTTTATTTGCACTTGGAGTTGCATGATCAGTGAAGCTATTATTAGGCCAGGGTTGATATGTGCTCGATCTATGACATAAATTTTGGCTCTTTTTATCAATTATTTCGCTCACCCAAAAATTATCACGTGACTTTGATTTTTACAGTTTTGCAGTCGAACAAAACGGTGACCATAACAGTCTTTTTCCTACTATTACTATTAGTAGGACAAAAACTAACCAAGCCTATAACATCATGGAGGGGATTCGGAATCAGCGTCCAATGCAAAAATACATCGAACATTTAGTGGGAGCAATACTGAATACATTTAATGCCACGCGTGGGTAACCTTTGAAAGGAAATTTGATCGACAACTGAGACAACTCTGCGTCTCGTGTTCCCTTTACACTTTGAGAGTGAGGAAAATACTTCGCGTATTATAAACACCATTAATCCCGAACTAAGGGTTGGTGGCACAAAATTATAACAGCGGGCGCCGCTCAGCCTGCCATTCCGCCAATTTGACAGCTTTAACGTCAAATTGCGTTGGCGGACAGCACCAATTTAAACACATAGTCTGTTTAATATCAGTGAGACTTCATAGTATAGGTTCTTATCGCGTCGGGGAAATAACGTCAATAATATGTTACCATTTGCTGTTAAATTAGTTATCACATATCATTTCAGTCACTCGAATTTGCAATCTTAGTAGTATCGGTATATTTATCTGTAGTTGAAATGGTCAAAATTTGATTTAATGGTCTCCGACGCGAGAGCTTAACTTCGCATAAGACTCATTCGACCAAAACCCATAATCATGGGTCAGGCCGGTAGAATGGACCGCTGCCAGTGTCTCTCTTTCCCAAACAAAAGGAAATGATATTAATTTGAATAACCGTCCGCAAATGCATAATGATACCGATAATGAATTCGGTCGTTCGCTTTTTATTTTTAAGGCACCTGAATATGGCGATTTTGGGTTTTTTTACCGAATTTTCGTATGACAGTGCTGGCGCGTATTTATAATTATATATATACATATTTGACCAAAACCCATAATCATGGGTAGAGTGGACCGCTGCCAGTGTCTCTCTTTCCCAAACAAAAGGAAATGATATTAATTTGACTGACCGTTCTCAAATGCAAATTCATACCGAGAATGAAATCGGTCGCTCGCTTTTCCTATATTCAATAAGCTTTATTACAATTCGTAAGCCGTGAATGAATGGGAAAAGCGAGCGACCGATTTCATTCTCGGTATGAATTTGCATTTGAGAACGGTCAGTCAAATTAATATCATTTCCTTTTGTTTGGGAAAGAGAGACACTGGCAGCGGTCCACTCTACCCATGATTATGGGTTTTGGTCAAATATCATCTCTTTTTGATTGTAATGTCAGAGTATTTTATAAAGTCGAAATATAAACTGATATCTTCATTAATAAGGAGGAAGTTTCAACAATTTCGAAATTTTTCCTTTAAAAACATTTTCTTGTGTTTAGGTAAGCATATCTGTCGATCACTGATTGAATATGCAACTATATAATCTATCAAGTTGGCACTAAACTCAAATATAATGTCATTTAACTGTCATGTTACTGTTAAAGCAGGAACTAAATCTAATCGAAATAAAGAGAGTGAAGTTCTCACCTTTTGCAAACTTTGAGCGGACGTTGCGTGCGCATCCAATATCAAATCACCGTAAAATTTTGAATTTTCGTATTTCTTATGTATTTTAATAAGTGTGCAAAGTTTCAGAATATTTTAGCAAGAACTCGCATCACAACGGGACTCCAAAGCTGATAAAAATCGTGAAAATAATAATTTTCAGTGATTTTAGCAATTTTCTATCAATTTGGGCGTGTCCCCACGTGTGCAACTTTTCGATTTTCAACTTTAAAACTAGCCTATAACACAATTTAGACCTTTAAAAAGCAAAATTGAGCTCCACCACCCAAGAGATGGCCCAACACCAGAGAATACTAATTCACAACTTTTGTGTTTTTATAAAATTATTCTTCAAAAAAGCACTAACTTCAATAGCAAGTATCTTTATGAAGGAGCAAGGTAGAAACATTTTCCGGTAGATTTTTAGAATGCTTGAACAATTATCTTAGATGAAAATTTGCTCAGATTTTGAATAAAATTACTCCTTAATGGTTTTAAATTGATTTGAAAAGTTGTTATTTTGTCAATAATCAAGATTTAAAAACGCTTAATTTGATGACGTCATCAAGTGGTGACGATGACGTTAAATTGTTTTTTGATATAATGTAAACTAAAGTGTAAACGATTATCTTCAAGACCTATGGTTGGAGATGACTGTATCGTTTATACTTTTGAATCTACGGACACTTAAATGTAGGCTACAATTGACTGCCAAAGCGTCTATACCACTATACTATACTTCACGACAATCTGTTCTAAAACAGGGGTTCCAGGAAACCCACTTCCCGATACTCCTGAAACTTGAAATTTCATTTACACTCGATTTGGTCAACGTCTAGACACCCTGCAAAGTTTCAGATCTTTTACTCATTTTTAACGTGGTTTTTAAGGCACCTGAATATGGCGATTTTGGGTTTTTTACCTAATTTCGTATAACATGCTGGCGCGTATTTTGCACAAATTTCTTGAAAATCTCCAAATAACTATTTCTTATTCCTGTCATCTTTAACATCGATTTAGAATGGGGGTAAGCAGTAAGGGGGGTAAATAGTAAAGGGGGTAAATAGTAAAGGTGGGTAAATAGTAAAGGGGGTAAATAGTATTGTGAATATAAGGGCGACGGTCATGCTTGCCAGCATTGTGATTATATATTTTGCGCAAGTTTCTTAAAAACCTTTGCACATAATTGTTTTTCATTCCTGTCATCTTTGACATCAAATTATTATTAATTATTAAATCAAAGTTCTAAACAAGGGATAGTTAAAAAACAACGCCCAAGTCTAATCTTTCCCTAAAACAAAAACTAAACATATTAAAAACTTCATTGCAAATTCCGCCAATATCTCTTGTCATAACTCAAATTACGGAGATAATGCAGGTCAAAGATATTATTCAAATAAAGATTTCTTTTACATAAATCATGCACAATCAGCGAGAATAGATTGCTTTGGGGTCTTCCTCTTCTCCCTGGGAAGTCCAGTGTATTGATGGCAAAAATGATGGAAGAAAACGCTGGTCCGTCAATAGGACCCCGCAAAACATGTCCTAACATTCTCCACCGACTACGGGCCACTTTGTCTGACAATGGTTCAGCATTGCAGCGTTTATACAAGTTTTTGTTGGAGATGACTCCTGGGTACTTTATATTCAAAATAGTGCGAAGATGTCTGCGGTGAACAACATCTAGTTTTTCAAGGAATATTTTGGGGACGGCCCAACAGGATGAGTTGTACATAAGAACCGATACGACTAAAGCATTATACAGTACTAGCAGGAACCCGTATAATATAACCCTAAACGGTGTCAAGACTCAAAATACTAAAATAATTATTACCTATTTAATTGGCGTTTTTGACACCACTTGGGGGTCCAAATTTTAGGCTCTAAAATCATTATTCCTTGGCCAATTTTTTATTTTTTCATGCTGATTTGAAGGCCATTAAAGCATTTGACCCAGCCAAAAAAGTTCCAGTTGTATATCTTTTACGGTTTTTGCGGAAAGTCGCGTTAAAGTTGATGCTGTGGTGTCAGTAAAATGGCACAGATATATATATATATATCGTCTCGCTTTATATGTAGTAAGATTAGACGTTTGTTTAGGGGCAGTTTATCACTCCAGGCCTTCTTGTAATTGTTGAAGGCAGCATATCCCAGGTTTATGCGACGCTGAATATCAGCTTTGCTACACAAGACGGACCCTAGAGTGATACTTTTCCTCCATGCTTCATTCCCCGACACTAATTTTCCATCACTGTCGACTTCACCCGTACTAGCTAAATAAACATGAGTGAAGTCCGTTTTGTCTTCATTGACAAAGAGGTTCCATTTCTCGAGTATAGCTGTTGCCTGGGGCAAAATAGCTCTCAAGTTGTCTTCCTCTTCATCATTGAAGTCAACATCATCAGCATATTCAGTGTCAAGTGGAAGGCCAGCAATAGTAATCGGGGGGATCGGCCTATCTAAACTGATTGTTATAGTCCATTCAAAGCACCAGCCAAGACAAGGGTGAACAGACAGCCGGATAGACAGTCACCTTGGAAAGCTCCAAGGAGACTTAAAAACTCAGCTGAAAGAACTCCATTTACCTTCACCCGTAGCTTTGTGTTGGACAACAACAACCGGACAATCCTCAGCTCATCCTCCTAAGTACAGCCACACAGTTTCAGGAGTTCAAGAATCGTAGTGCGTTTGATCGTGTCAAACGCACTAGACATATCAATGTCCATGCGATGATACTCCCATTTCTTCCTTTGGACAACTGACAGTAGAACTCGCTGACACCAAACAATATCAGCACAAGAACGAGCGCGTTTATATGCACACTGCCATGGACCAGTGAAGGCGTTCACTTTTTCTTCTATCCTTTTAAGAGTAGCCATAGACAGAATTTTTCTGGCTGCATTGGACAAGGTGAGTGGACGTAAATTCTTCAGGGGACCAATAGGTTTTTTAGGCTTCTGTAAGGGTGTTATAGTAGCCTCTCCAATGGAAATGGGGAAAGTATGTGTCTCGAAACAACTGTTTATGATTCCAGCATAATGTTCATGGACTGTACTATTAGAGTACTTAATAAGCTCGTTGGGTATTCCATCGGGACCATTTGCCCTCCCATTTTTCAAGCTAGAGGTGGCTGCATGTAATTCAACTCCAGTAAAAGGGACATTGAGAGCACGTGGTAGACCCTCAAAAGGCTCGAGAGGTTGCTCATTGCGAGTCAGCTGTTTTTCGAGATAGTCTCTAACAACAGAAGCTTTCATGTCGTCAGATGCAATCAAACAGCCATTTTCATCATGAACACCAATCGAGTTATTAGGTGGTTTACTTTTCTGAAGATGTCTTACTGCTTCAAACATTTTCCTTGAATCGTTTGTGTTAGTAATATCACTATAGGTCTGATCAGCTTGAGCAGACCTCACTTCAACTAATCTTTTCTGGATACTATTAGTGAGGTGGTTGATGGATGACCTCAATGTAGTTCGATCAAGAGATTGATTATTGTTAAGTAGCTGTCGGAGATCGTGACGCTTTTCAACAAGCTCTTTGAGAGTGTCATCACTGCTGTGATGTTTCAAGCGAGCTTTAGGTTTTGGGCCGATGGAAACATTGGCAGCATCACGAATATGAGACATAAGATTTTGAAGGTCGGCATTTGGATCGTTGCTGGTCACAAAATTTGAGAACTTGCCTTGAAGGGCCAAGTGATATTTATGTTGCATATCTTTGTTGCTTACAAGTTCTGATATATTATAAGAAGGAACACGACGTTGTTTAGGTTTGAAACAAAGATGAATGTTGCTGAAATTGATGCGAGCAATGACAAGTCTATGATCTGAAAATGTTTTAGTACCAGCATAAGTTCTTGATTGAGTCAAAAGACACTTAGATCTATTTCGGCATAGTATGTAATCTATTTGAGAGTATACAGGCAGTGTCTTCTTACTGTACCGACCAGCCGACCAATCCTTCCGCCAACCAGTAAATGATGTAATACGTCTGCTAGGTTGTATAAAACTAGTGTTCACAGCAAACAGATTATTTTCTGAGATAAAATCCAGTAATCTAGAACCATTTTCGTTCCTTACTCCCATTCCGTATTTCCCCATGTATCTACCAAAACCCTGTTCAATATCAAATTAGAATGTATAAAAGCAACGGTCATGCTTGTAGTAGAGGCTCTTACGGGCATTGTCTGTTCGATACCGTAGGGCCCCCAGATACACCTTACTAGACGTATTTTTGACCGTAAAATCGATTAAAAGTGGTTTCAAGATGATTGGACTGAGTTAGCGCGGTTAAAATCGCAAAAAAACCGATTTTGGGGCCAAAAAACCATGTTTTTTGATAATCTGGGCAAGTTAATTTTGTTGGCATGTCAGCAAAACTTGCATGAAGATAGCTAAAAGACAGCCGCACAAGATGGTATAAAAATAAAACAAATCCCTCGATTTTAGCGCAGGTAAAAATCCAAAAAAGTGGTAAAAATGTTGACTTTTTTGCTTGAAGTTTGAATAAGTTTTTGCAGTTGTATTAAATCAACCCAAAAATAGTCACATCGTGTTTGTCTAAATTTTTCCTTTCCGAGAAGTACCCACTTCATATACTTTATCGAAGTTTGAATATTGTCACTCCGCAAGCGTTTTTGCCAAATTTTCGACGCGCACTACGCGCAAAAGCATTTAGTTGTTATCAATTGGCACCCGCGCGTTCATCATAAATTTCAAACAGCTATAACTCAGCGAGATTATGTCGGTTCTAGCTCATATTTTCACAACAAATAGAAAATTATGTGATCTTATTGCTGACAAAATATGAATTTAATCACTTTATTTGCCTTAGAGTAACACTGGTGTGCCCACCTACGAGTGGTATTGAAACGTAGCGCGCCTGAAACGTAGCGCCCCTGAAAGCATGATAATGTCAGCCGCGCCGTAAGCTTTCATTAGGTTTTAGGTATCGCGTCCGCGGCAAACAGAAGATAAATCGGAAATTGTGGAACCAGATGATACGGTTTTTGAGGCATTTTGATACGGTCATTTTAGTCTGTTAAAGTAGTCTCAGAGTGCTGGAAATGGTTTCACGGTGTAGGGGGATGTGTTTACTAACTATTTTGACGTCAAAATTGTCGCCAGAGGCTCCCTGAATCATGGAATGAACGGAATGAACAAAAATGAAATTTTTACTAAAACTCGTCGGATTGCCCCAAAACAGGTCAGAATCGTTTGGTATTGACCCTTATAGTGTTCCTACAAAGTTTGGTGGCCCTAGCACTCCAAGAACGCCCACTAGAGACTTGATAGACTGTCAAAGTTTAAAACGCGCATTGGTATAGCACGTGACTAATAAGGCCAAATTTATACTTCTTAACATATTATCGATCCTTAGACATCATACTATTGTGTTTTATTAGCGATTAGGTCTCTAAACTCGTAGCAGAAAACACGTCTTTTTGCCCGTAAGAGCTTCTACTATTGCCATCACTGTGATATAAGACGGCGCGTTGATAGATAATGATATGATTATGACAGCATTATTTGTCATTTATGTCAGAATCAAGACAATGAATTAAAGTCTCGACAAGCAAGGTACTGTCGAATAGTAGCCCACTTGATTGTGAGAACTACGAGAAAGGAATTTTACTGTGGTACCTGCACTGATCGCTCTCCAAGGACTTGGAAATTTCTTACCAAAAAGAGAAAGAAAACCCAAGTCACTTAATACCGGGCTGGCGTACGAGTGAATTAGTAAAAGCCGGAATTGTGAGTGCTTTCCCAGTCAGCCGCTCTGACAGCTGCTACTCTAGCGTTTGTGAGCAGACACCTTCTTATATTTCATACATAATATAAACTGTGTAACCATGGTAACTAGTTAGTAACCTTGGTAACTTGCTTTTGATGTACAGACATTCAGTATCATTTCCGAGTTAGGACGGCAAAATCCGACTATAAAATATAAAAGTTAAACAATCGAAATATTAGCAGGTGTCGTGTGATCGAACATAAATTAATTATCGCAATATAATCGTTACTCAAATCGGTCATTATTATAAGTTTGTCGTATAAGTGCCTTCATCAGTTGATTGAAAGGTTGTTCAAAAAATTGGTTGAAAGACGAAAATCACAAAATTTGGTCGCTTGAACTCTCTTTGCTCTTCCACTATAATTATAGAATAATAACTATTTAAAAAGTAAACCTACATGTAGCTAGTGGACAAAGCATAGATAGTATCGACCAAATATGGTAATCCAACTGATGTAACTTTTCGACCGACTGATGGAAATAAATATACCGATACGTATAACAGTAGCACCACTTTCATAAAATTAACATGAAAATATTTTTCCCCAAACATGAAAATTTAGTTTAAGAGGTTACCGGGATGGCCAAGATTTTAAAAATGCAGCGACATTTGAAAAGCTATTTCCTTTAATTTCAAGTTCACTTAAGTCCGCCGTCATCAAGTTTTTAATAATCACGTTAAAAATAGCCCCTCCTTAGAGACCGTTTTATTAGTATGCTACTTTATTACTACTACTAGATAAAACAGTGTAGTTAATATACTACTACACAGTGTATATACTACTATACAGTGTAGACTGTAGAATATAAAGTTTCCAGTTCCCTAAAAGCTGCTTACAGAGTGCGTGAAGATTGCGAATGATATCATTGTGTGCCCATTACCCAAATTAAACCATTTAACTTTAAGGCCAGAGGGGGGGGGGGGGGGGGGGGGGGGGGGGGGGGGGGGGGGGAATGACACTTTTCTAGTTTTCACATATTTGATAATATCTGCTCGAGACGAACAAGAAGAAAAAAAAACCGGATCAAAATCTGACCTTGCGTTCCTGAGATATCGCGCGCTAAATTTTGAGGTTTACCTGTAATTACATGTTAAACTGGATCTTTAAACGGCTGTAACTTTTTTGACCTTTCGATTCCTTAGTTGAGAAAACCGGCCACTCCCTGATCTTGAGGTTTGGTACAGTGGTTCCTTGGAAAATAATCCTCATTTATGATGCAGCGATCTTTTTTATTTGACTCGGTTCTCGAATCATGAGGTTAATCATGTCAAAAATTCGGAAAATTTTGCTGGTTAACCTCATAATTCGAGAAACGAGTCAAATAAAAAAAATCGCTGCATCTAATGTCTAGATAATTGTCCAAGGAACCACTGTACCAAATCTCAATATCAGGGGGTGGCTGGTTTCCTCAACTAAGGAACTGAAAGTCACAAAATGTGTTTTGAGATAGATGCAATTTAGTGTTTTCAAAATGTTGAATATTCACTGGAATGTATCACAGTTCGTTAGTTAGGACTTTCTATACACTTAACAACGTTTGCTTGATCAGACCTGGCCATCCCCTAAATGATCTTAGCCACTTTCAGTAGTTAATGTCCTTGTATTGTAAAAAATGAGGTTAACCAAGACTTCCTGTAAACACTTACTGCTTAAAAGTAGTAAAAAATTGGTTGTTAACCTCGCTTTAGACCATATTACACTGGGATTGGTTTATTAATATGTTATTATATATGTAGTAAAACATTTCCACAGTGTAACGATTAAGTTTTTGAGGTTAACATGTATTTGACTGGTCAGATATTCAAAAAATGAGAGGTTATAACCTCATTTTTTAGCCATTTACGGATAAAATCTTCTACTAAAATATAGTCAGTTCAAATCTCCTTTGTCACGTGATTATAGTTGTAGGCATTGTGATACCAATAGATACCTCACTGCGATATTGTGGTGCATTACATAAGTAAGAATCGTATGTATATTCCCTACGGTACCAAAATGTGATGGTTAACCTCATTTTTTCATTTTCCCAAGATAAAAGAAAGTCAATCAACATGTCATCTATTTAGAAATGTGTATACCGTAAACTAACGATGAAAATAATAGCTCTATCATTTGATCTATTCTCGCTATATTTAAAAAAAGAGGTTAACCTCATTTAATCACGTTTGGAAATTACTTTTTCTGATAATTATGAGCCTAAAATTTAGAGTTAACATTTGCTGACCGAAATAACAAAAAATTAGGGAGTGTAATAAAATATTAACCTCAATTTTATTAACCTCAATGTTGTATAGTCAATTTTGTGTAAATCGGTTAACCTCAATTATTAAAAAAAGTTAAGCAGCTACAAATATGTGAATAGCAGCAATGTTTTTGTCATCAAAAATTATATTGATTTAGAAAATAATATTTTGGTCGATGTTTTTGACCCCTTACCCCCCCCCCCCCCCCCCCCCCCCCTCTGGCCTTAATTTATTATATATTGATTTAAATAAACTCTGCAAGTTCAAATAATTATATACACGTGGCTATTATACACTATTATAAATATAATTCCGGACATGCATGACATAGATAATATAATCTTTAATAAAGCGTCACTGAAAATATCTTGTTGAAAATGCAAGGCTTTATCATGTTTAACTTTGTGATTCATAAATATTTGGAAACAAGAGTAATCAACATGAGTAAAAGTCTTGATGTATAAATTCAAATATGGAACTGTAACCTGTATGTGTATAATTTAAGAAAACATCTAATATAAAATTTTACAGCAAATCATTTGTACATAATAAGTAATGGTTTTTCTTTCTAGTTATATATACAACAAAACATATACCGTAAAGCATAATAATAACGAAAATAATAGGCGCCCCATTTCGTTGTCACATTTATCAAATCATTCAAGCGATCATGTCGTAAACTATCCTCCACATACTGATTAGCGATATGAAGATGATGAGTTCTTGTGGGACGCTTCACATCCATGCGTTTCTTTTGCCCTGGAAATGTGTTATTTAATAAGGGATCTGAAATGAATAGCAGACCATTCAACATGTTAAACATCTTTAACATGTTAAAGATGCCCCAGATAAGAACAGAATACTAGGGTTTTGTTGTTTAGTTAAAATCCGATTAGATCGTCAGTTATCCGAATTCCGGGTCAAAACGTAAGCAGGACCATAAGCATTACGTGACCTATGAAGCAATACTGTATAGTACTCTTGGGATTTGAGTACTTCTCACGTGACTGTTTAAGTAGTTCTGTAAAAGCTATCGATCAATACTCCACCTCAACCTTTTAGCAACTCTTGGTAATTCAACTTTAAGTTGAGATCCTGGAGAGGTTCGCTGTTTACCAGTCTCATGATGAGGTAATGATAGTCTCTACTAACGAATAATTATCCCTGTAATCAACTTTGAGTTGATCAAATGAATTGCCGGTTAACAGTTAATAAAAGGTTGAGGCGGGGTATTGGAAGTAATCAATAGCTTTTGCAGAAGTACTTAAATTAATCTCTGTTAGGAGTCGTTCACATATTGCGTAATCAAAATTTTAGCAATTCTTACCCCCTCCCCCTCCGTCATCTTTACATGTTATTACCCCCTCCCCCTCTGGCCTTAATAGTTGAATTACATCCCCCCCCTCGTATGTCATAGCTTTACTAGTTCTCAGTTTGTTGGTGAGGTTCGTCGGTTATGTCCCTGAGGCTTTCCTTTGTCTTTGTTCGTCAGTCGGTCTGTCTGTTTTTGAGAATCCCACATGGGTAACTGATAGGACCATTTGTTCTTTGTATTCTGGTTGTGTCTATCTGTCATGTGGAAGGGGAACTGTGGAGTATGGTCGTCAGAGGTAGGGTATTTGTAAACTCTGTACGGGTTAAACTCGGAGTGTCTTACTCTGGGAATGTAGCCGCGTTTTGTCATGGTGTTGGCTTCTTGCCGTATCATTTGAGCGTACTCCTCTGCCGCGCGGCCCTCCTCCGCTCGCAGTGCCTCCTCCGCAAGACGTTCGTCTTCTTCCGCTCTCCTTCGTTCCGTATTCTAGAGTGGTTACTGTGTTACAAACTTGTGCTTTACTTTCTGACAAGTGATTTTACATATGTTGATTGTTGATCAGGTAATCGCTGTAACTTAGAAATGATGCTGCTATTTGAGGTGTATTAAAGATTGACGTTTCACAGTTCGTAAAACTGCAAATCTGTCGTGGTCAAAGAGGATGAGCAACGTGAATTGGCAAAAAAATACGATTTTATATAAATACTACTTAGTCAGATTATCATAACTTGACAGTTATCTTCGTGTTATTTAAATGGTTTAGGCATTCTCACAACTCCGATACAACTGTCATATTATATAATAAGTTCGACATGTCTTTGGTGGGATTCATAACTAACGTTTGATCAAATTCTGCTTTCCAGGCCAAATTTTGCTCCAAAGAAAGTGTGATAAAACATTAATCACATGCCTTCTCATGCGATATCAACATTTTCAAAACTCGGCAAGCCTTGTGTTTGAAAATGTCGATATAACCCTCGGCAAGCCTCGGGAAATATCGAAACTTTCGCTAACTCGGCAAGCCTCGTGCCGAGTTTTGAAAATGTTGATATCGCATGTGATAAATGTATAATAATAGATGAATTGAAACAGCATGATTTAATTCTCGGGAATGTTTTTAAGGCTTATCACAATAATTCCAGCCATAAAATTTGCGGTTAATGATGAAACGTTTAAAGTGCACGGTTTACCGCTAGACCCATGCGATATTAAACCAAATTAATGAACCGTAATATTACAGTAGTATTATAATATAGACCTGATGATCAATCTCTCGTCTCCTCTCGTCCCTCTGTCTGGCTGTCCTCTCAGTCTGTCTGCCCGTTTCCTGGGCTAACAGTTCCATGTTATCTATCAGCTCCTCCCTCGCTCTCAGTGCTTCATCTTGTCGTGATCTCACTTCGTCTTGTTTCCGAGCGAGCTGGTCTACACGACCTGACAATTGTGTTGTTATATTATAGCACTGTAGAACCTCTACAGAGAGCGAAAACTGTTAAAGAGAGCTAGAGGTTCATATTATGTTCCCAATCTTTAATATCTGAAGCCTCTCAAATAAACTGCCAAGCCTCTCAATATACCCCACGTATTGCGTTGTGTTGAGATGGAATAATTCTTTCACAAATTATCTAAAAATGGGCTAATTTGATAGAGGTTTTAGAGCAGAGAACTTCTTGTTCCAGGACTCCACCAAGTTGTTCGTTTCACAGTGCAATCTCTTTGAGTGGAAACAGTTGATCAGATCCCAGGATATTATCGCTCGTGACGTTGTGCGATGTGTCATGTGAGATCATGCTCTCGTTTAACCACAAAAGCACCCATGGTGATTTATGACGTGAGTCGAAGTTATGTGTCATGTGACTCGATTCGGTAGTTTGAGTAACATGACACAAGGGCCAAGCCTCTCAATATACGCCACGTATTGCGTTGTGTTGAGATAGAATAATTCGTTCACAAATATCTAAACATTAGGCATATCATATATAATATCATTTGTGAGCATTGACAAAATATTAAGTGTTGTTTAAATCTTTATCCCAATGCCCATGAGATATAGAGGAATTTGTTTCCCTTTGAATCGATCAAACTAGATGAATTGTTGTAAATACTGAGATCAAACTATCAATCTACAGGCTATCGTCAAACATGTTGCAAGGCGTCATCTTCAGTGACATAAGACCTAAAAATTGTAAAAAGTTACTAAAACCCAAAATTCCTTTAAAAATCTGAACACTCTTAAAACGGTTATAAAGTTAAAATTAAGATGTTAGGAGTAAGGGAAGGCCAAAAAGATTTACAGTGTTAATTCCCAAAGGTTTTAAAGTCTTGAGTAGTTGAATATATTTATGTTCACGGACTTCCAAAGTTTTAGGACTAGAATTATCAATAATTGACACATTACAAATTTTGTTAAAATCTTCCCTTTGTCTAAAATCAGCAGAGGGAGGTGTTGGATAGGGTTAAGGAGAACATCAGGAAGGAAAGAGAGGTGCAGTTGGGTACGTTGGAGATGCAGTCCAGGTGGGGTAATTGGAGAGAGCTGGTGACAAGGACTGACATGAGCTGGCACACGCTCTTCAAGTATGGGGACTCATTAATCGGTTTTTTGCTTAGTGCTGTGTATGGCACGCTTGTTACACCAGCTTTAGCATCCAAGTGGAGCGAGGATGAGGATGGGATGTGCAAGCTGTGTGGTGACAAGTTGGGAACTGTGCAGCATATCCTGGCTGGTTGTCCTGTGGCACTAAGTCAAGGGAGATACCGATGGCGCCACGATAAGGTGCTTAAACAAATAGCAGACCAAGTTAAATTCCATTGTGAGCGGATAGTCAACAAGAGGAAGAGTTCTTGTGTCACTCGGAAAGCCATTGAGTTTGTTCCAGCAGGAGGGAGGTTTAAGGAGGTGAAGAGGTCGAAAGTCAGTGAGTTTGGGATTCTGAGTGGGGCCACTGATTGGATAGTATTAGCAGACCTGGATAAGCAGCTGAAATTCCCGTCGGATATAGCAACGACCAGATTAAGACCAGATTTGGTTCTTTTCTCGAAAGCTTCCAAGAGAGTAATCTGGTGGGAGCTTACAGTACCGTCGGAAGAGAGAATAGCTGCATCCCATGAGCTGAAGCTTGATCGGTATAACAGTCTACAAGCGGAAATACAAGCTAATGGGTGGTCATGTTTCAGCTTTGCTGTTGAGGTTGGTGCTAGAGGTGTGGTCGCAGCAAGTTTGGAGTGTGCATCAAGGAAGATTGGTCTGACTGGGAGAGCCCTCAAGAAGTTGGTCAGAGCTTGTGGGAAGGATGCAGCCCATTGTTCAAGATGGATTTATCTGCTGTCTAGGAAAAGAGAGTGGGAGATGAGAGCTGTTTGAGCTTTATGACTTCACCTAACAGCCAGAGGTGCCATAAGCTAACTCGTCGTAAATCGCGAGCTCTAGCAGGTATCCTCGGGTGATTGTCAGATCAGATGGTGGTCCAAGAGAGACTGCTGGGGCACCTGACAGAAAACCGTATCGCAATGAAAGCCCCGAAACGGTGTCAGGTTTGTGACTGAAGATTCTGATCAAGCTCAGGGTTGAGTCTACACAGTGTCGCCACTTGCCGATGCCAGTTGACGCGAGAAGACACTGATGTAAGTGGGAAGTTATGTCTAAGAAACAGCGTGTGGTTCGGGTGCCGGTTGAACGCATGTAAAAGGGAGGGTATATCCGTATTTCGCTGCTAGTGATGCAGTCCTTGGCCCGGTAGCTAAGGCTTCCCCGTTTCTCGCTCATTTGTGCTCCGATGGGCTTGTGACCTCTGCGGGGGTCAAGTGCAGGATGAGGGACATGGCCGACCAGGAGAAGGTTGTTTTTGGGAGATAGACTAGGGTTGGTTTGGTGTTGTGCCTTCGCAGTTTAACTGTATCTTTACCCTATGCTACTTTATGATACTGCTGGGATTGGCCAGCTACCGTGGGGTAAGGCCCACCTGATTTGAACAGATGCTACGCTTGGAATTGGCTTCTGGGTTGGGTTGAGATCCGTGCCTGCAGCGGTTACTGCAATAGAGAGGTGTGATGGGGTTTTAACGAGCGGAGACCTCAGTCCACATCGGTCCTGCGCCTCCTGCCTCTCTAAGGTTCCGGGAGTCCCTATTTAGGGACGAGTTGCCCGGGTGAAAAATAAAGGCTTTGTGGACACCCACCACGTCCTGCCACAAATCAGAAAAGGACTTATACAAACAGTCGAGAACTCTCGACCCCTGATTCTGATGTAGCAGAGGAGTTTAGCTGCGTGTGTGGTCGGCGCTTTACAACGGAAAGGGGTAGGAACATTCATCGAGGAAGGATGAAGTGCTCTTGGGAAGGGGAGCAACCGTTAGATGTTGCATCTGTAAGTTCGGTGGAGGTACCTGGCCAGGACGATAACCAATTGCCCCCTTTTGTTCTGGTCCAGAGCATTAGCCAGGCAGCTTCCCGGTAATTCGAGCGGCTGGGTGGGTCCTGGGCGGGATTGGTGTGGGTTCGTGCTCCTCGTGGTATGGTCTGAGATCTGGGGGTTGGCACGGGGGTGCGGCGGGGATGGGTGAGTGGTGCTGGCTGGAGGGACGGTTACTATTCATACCGACCAGCTTAAGCAAGTAAAGTTGTTTGCAGTCGGGACGGATGGGAACTTTGAATCGACAGTTAGCATTGCGATCCTGGCTCTTGTCAAACTCTCGGGCCTTGGACCCGTTTCTCGGGGCTAGCACGGGGGGTTTGGGCTCCCGCCTCTCGTCTGGGGGCTCCTGAACGCTTTAGAATTACTGGGATTATAAGTACGGCGGCGGAGTCAGTCCTGAGCACCAGAGCATTCGTGAAGACTCCGCCCACTTACTCTGATTTATCTGACTGTAATTCCTTTCAACCCACTTCTTGTTCGTGTCTTTCATTCTTGGATTGATTGGAACTGCAGCCTGGAGTCGGTTAAGTGACCTTGACGTGGTAAGGGGGCTTACTCGGCTTCACTCGACCTGCCGAAACTAAGCCGTACTGTCCAGCTGGGCATCACTGGACATAAGTCGCACGTGCACTTCTTTTGGCTATTTAACTCACCTGATCCTTCCTCCCTGAGCACTCACAGCTTTCATTCACATTGAGCTATAGGGTTTTTGAAGTTTAGGGTGTGCGCTTCAGGTCGGGCCCTTAATGCCGATCATTAGCACCCATTTTCCCTGTTTTATTGGGCGGCATTTCAACACTGTCGTCGTAGTATTTCTCAGCATCTTTCTACGATTCGCAGAAAGTGTTAAAACTCACGATACACCCTCACTGATCAACCATTTGCTTTATAGATCGTGGATAGAGTGTGCTTCGGCAAACACGAATGTATGTGCACGGACTCTTGGGTCTGACTCATGCACTTTGTGCACCGTCCACGAACCCTATAAAGTAATATACTGTAACAACACCAAAAACCAACCTTTACTACCAACAGTGGTGCCAACTGGAGGGACGGTCACTATCCATAACGACCAGCTTAAGCAAGTAAAGTTGTTTGCAGTCGGGCCGGATGGGGACTTTGAATCGACAGTTGGCATTGCGATCAGACCAACAACCTACTTTCAACCGACCACTTTTGACTCTCGGCAAGTCTCAATGGTCCAACCGACATACGACATTATTGTGTTAAAAGCTAAAAAAATCATATCTTCGCGCGGGTGCGCGCACCCACGTGAGAACATATGGTCACAAACAAAAGATAACAACAAACACAATTTCACACACAAACGTCTATTGAGCGGACTGTGGGAGCCATGTTCAGGGAAGGTCTGGCGGGGGCTGTTTGTCTGGAAGGGACCATGCGTACCTTCTGGAGGGCCAGCTGCTGCTACCCGACCCTGTCCAACTCCTCAGCGCCCCACCGGCAATGATAGGTCATAATACCTGTCTAGGGGGAGGGACGGCTTCCACTCCGCGCAATGACGCTCAAACTAGCACAAAAAAGAAGAGACGCCAAAAAAAGTTAAAAACTACTATTGCAGCACGCAATAAGCAGTCTGAAACTTACTCTGTCACCCAAATTAATCTCAAACGCAAGTTCAATGCATGGAAAACCCTCCTTATCAACACTCACGGCCGGAGAAATCCAATCATTCTTGCAACAGAACCGTACTCTAATAACAAAAACCTAATACCACCCATCAATAAGGATCTCACCCAATATTACTACAAGGTCGGGGATAAAAGACCCCGTGCCGCTATTGTACTGCACAAAAACCTGACAGTAAAATGTTGGGAACTTACACAATTCACAACACCCGATCAAGTGGCCATTAAAATCCAACTCAGCTCGACAGAACTCATTCTGGCAGCTTCGTACATGGATATAAATGGGCCGGTACCGCCACAAGAAACATCACCTCTAGCAAAATACGCAAATGATAACAACATCCCGCTCATTATAGGGTCGGACACCAATT